ATTTTTGTGAATTCTCTGCAAGATGGATTTGTATACTTTGATCTCTTTGACACTTGGTTTGGTCCTGCTCAGGTTTGCTGAAACAAAAAAAAACTTTGCCACTGGCAATAATGCTCAATTAAGAAACATTGATAGCAAGGAGTTGTCATATATACTGTAGAGGCAATAGAAATACCATATCTATATATAATGCTTGGCTCCAGCCAAATAGGGAGCCACATGGGCAAAAGTTTGAGTATTCTGAATGCCCAAACGCCAAAGTTTCTGGCTGAACTGTCAGCTCATCCCTACTTTCAAACAATGTTTTAGCCATACAACATACTGGTAATAACTTTGATTTTTATTCTCCATCAATAGACACTTCAAATTCCCAAACATGAGAAAGTAAGGAGAGAAACCAGTTAAATCATTCTTAGTAGCATTGTAGGCATGTCCCATAGCTCCAACATTTCAGCTCCATGTTTTCTTAACACCTTCAAGGAGGGTGCCCAACATGTCCAGCAAAATATAATTGAAAAGTACAAGGGAAACATTCCTTTCAGATGAGACAGTATGGCAAGATTCTTGTCAATGTTAAGCAGTGTTAATAGTTCTTTAAAAACATCTTTTAAAGTTCCACCCCTGCTCAAACTTATTTTGATTCAGCAATCCATAATGAACAAAGCACCACTCCCACAACACTTTAGCTGCTGTCACTGCTTTATGGTCTTTTGAAAGATAAGCTTGAGAACATCAACTGTAGTGATCAGTAACAATTAAACAATTAAAACAGTTCCACTCCACAGTTGGCATTGTTGATACATAAGATGTTCATGCACACTAAATCCAGTGGCCAAAACCTTTCATGTGTTTTGCAGGGGTGGCTTAAGTAGGCAAAGTTTTACATTGCAGACATCACACAGAATACCTGCAATGGCTTCCTATGTTTGGGGTAAAAAAAAAAACAATCCTGTTTTCTCAATTCCCTAATGCCGATGTCCAATATGCAAACTGCTGAAAATAGTCTTTTTCTGTTGACCTGAAGGAGCACTAGCTGTCTTCTTCCAGGATGATCATGGAACAAGTGTACCCTTTACGGACGTCCATTGATTATTTTTGAGATAATAGGTACTTTGCTCAGGTAAGACTCTTTTCATGTACTTAGGATCTGTGTAGATTAACCTCCCTGGCGGTATTCCCGAGTGTAGCTCGGGGTAAAGTTTCAGTACCAAAAGCCGTAACCCCGAGCTACACTCGGGCTTTACCATGCGGCATTGCTCAGGGATTCCCTACAGCGCTTATCTTGTCCTTCGCTCCCGCGATGTGTCCCCTGCAGCGTCCCCGGCCATCTCCTCCGGCCGATGCCGGCATTTGGCTTCCGTGTTCCGGTCCCTGTGACGTCGGGACGTACGGGCGGCGGCGGCAAATTTGAAAATTTAAAAAAAATGAATTTTTTTTTAAAATGATTATTTCATAGCAAAACATTCCTGTATCAAAGCATTTCACATACATTTTGTCCCTACTGCTTTGTCCTGTGCCCTGCCTGCATTTTGACTGTTCTTTCTGCCTGGAAACTGAGAAACGTCCACGGTGTCCAAAAAGCGTCCCTTTAGGTCAAAATCGGTTTTAGACCAGCTAAAGAACAGCGATAGTAAATTAGAACTACTTGCAGAATTGAGGGATAATGATTCATGGGGGAAATTCGTCATCAGACACTGAAAACGATTTTGCGACTTTCCTCAGTGATGTGCAAACTTGGCGCTATATTTCAAATTTCATGTTTTTGGTTTGATTATATTATTGAATTAAATTTATTATTATTATATTATTATTTTTATGAGTATTTATTAAATTATAATTTATGATTTCGTGTTTCAAGTTTTATCATATCCGGAATGTTTACTAGACTCTTGTTCGGACAGATTTCAGGGAGTTATTTCTAAATTATAGGCCTAAAATAAAAAAAATACATATTTCCATGCAAAAAAATGGTACCGCTTTTGGTACACAAAATTCCTGACATAATCATACCACCAGGGAGGTTAACCAACTTCATAAAGTGTCTGATTACTAGATCTCCCTTTTGTAGAAAAATTATATCTTGCTTTTGTTTTTGGATGTATTCTGGTACCTCTAAAACTGAATGGCAGCAGTATATGTTTGTTATGCACACTTCTCCAGCTTGGTATGTGCTTTGCTTTTTTACAGTGAAAGTATTTAATCATAAAGATAGGCTTACAGCTGGAAAAGTTTATCAGTAGATGGAAATTTAGGCTGGAGGAATTTACTAGACACTTTATTTTTAGCAACAATCTCATTTTTCTGCTTAGCCAAAAAGTTTGATTTAACTTTGCTCTTCGAAGGGGTACTAAAAAAGATATACCGTAAATCCTGAACAATGATGATAGTAATAATATCAACCTTCAGTCATAGTTTCATTGAAAGCAAAGTTTTCCTCACACCAAATAATTCTTAGGGCAAGAGACATGGGGTAATGTAGCAGTAACCCCTTTATAATCTGATCAATCCTTAATTTGTTAACATCTGCGGGAGAGATTACTTTTCAATGAACACTATTCTAGCCTTCTCACAAACATAGAAACATTCTCTCTAAAGCAGAGATTGTGGATACAAAGTTCACAATCCTCATCATGTTCTCTTTTATCTACAGGAGTGGCATACTGTAAGGTTTCATTGTCTTTTAACCCTTACACTGCCACTGACATAATGTATACAGTGGCACAGAACTGCACCCAGCGAGTCAGGTCAGTTTTCCTTACATTGGCTGCATTCCTCCACTGCTAACGGTGAATCTGCAACTATGAACTTATATCAGCATGGTCCTCCCAGCTGTCCTGAATAAATGAATAGCTATGATCAGCAGCTGACAGGCCACTGATCATAGCAATTCATTCAAAAAATAAATCCCCCTTCTGCTGTCAAGACACGCCACTCTGCCAACATGGAGCCTCTTCATTGCAATAATACAGTTCTGTGTCCCATGCACAACTTGATCCCCCCGCTGTGTCCTCTGACCACCCCCCCCTTCCCACTTCTATTCTCACCTGTTGGCTGTGCAGAGAAGCAGTTGGCAGTAAGATTGCAGTGACAGGCGCGTGCTGGCAAATAGCTGCATTCTGTGTCCCCTGCACAGCCCACTGTCTTTTCTGTTTCCTCCATTCACCCCCCCCCCCCCACTGCTCTCCCACCACCTGTAGTGCAAAGACAGTGGACTGTATGGGAAAGGACTGCAAATCGGGAGGACCGATCCTTCAGGAAGGCTGAGCACAGGAGTTTTGATCAGTGTTGATCACCTGGCTTTTATTCAAAAATACTGAGATAGCAGCATGAATGGCCATTTATCTTTACTATCTCTTTATTTTGTGAATGAACAGAAAGTGGGATATCAAACTTCTGATATTTCACTAAACCACACCCAGTAATAGTAAAATAAATAAACTGAAAAAATAAAAAAAACAAAAACAAATTCAGTGTAGAAAAAATCACATTGTTCATGTTGGTACATTTCAGTCTCATTAATCGTTATTAACACCAAAACATGGGTTGGTAATACACATGCATTGCACAGAATCACAACACATGCAATATGGTACATGTACCTTTGTGGTGTGATTTATTTATGTGCATTATGGGTGCTATTCATTTCAAATAATTAGGTTGCCCTAATGCAATGTTGGTTAATGCGTGTAAAAATGCACGTCAAAGAGCGTTCATTGCTGCAGCATACAGATTTGAACCTGTGCCCTGTAAGAGATTCAAAATGGCATTAAGCGGTGGCTGAAGCAGTCTCCTGATCATGTGATTTCTGTGATTGGTTGTCACAGTAGTCACAAAATCAGAAGCTTTTGACCCTAAACAATGATTGCGAGAGCATAGCACAAATACATATCTGTAGTGGCTCGGTGTTAAGACCTGCCCAGCCTACCTCTGCAACACATTAACCCCCTGGCGGTATTCCCGAGTGTAGCTCGGGGTAAAGTTTCAGTACCACAAGCGGTAACCCCGATCTACACTCTGGCTTACCATGCGGCGCTGCTCCGGGATCTGTTCTTCTCTTACCTTGTCCTGCGCTCCCGCGATGTTCCTCCTGAAGTGTCCCCGGCAATGTCCTCTGACGGATGCCGGCATCTGTCTTCTGGGTTCTGTCCCCTGCGAGCGTTGGGACGTACGGGGGACGGAACAGCGGTAAATTTGAAAATGACTAAAAAGTGACACTCGAAATTCACCAAAATCACATAGTAAAACATTACTGTATCAAACCATTTCACATACATTTTGTCCCGAGTACTTTGTCCTGTGCCCTGCCTGCATTTTTACTGTTCTTTCTGCCTGGAAACTGAGAAACGTCCATGGCGTCCAAAAAGCTTCCCTTTAGGTCAAAATCAGTTTTAGACCAGCTAGAGAACAGAGATAGTAAATTAGAACCACTTGCAGAATTGAGTGATAATGATTTGTGGGGAAATTCGTCATCAGACACTGAAAACGATTTTGCGACTTTGCTCAGTGATGTGTGAACTTGGTGCTATATTTCAAATTTCAGTGTTTTTGGTTTGATTATATTATTGAATTTAATTTATTAATATTATAATATTATTTTTTTATGATTTTTTTTAAAGTTATAATTTATGATTTTGTGATTCAAGTTTTATCATACCCGGGATGTTTACTAGACTTTTGTTCGGACAGATTTCAGTGAGTTATTCCTAAAAATTACAGCCTACAATAAAAAAATACATATTTCCATGCAAAAAAATGTACTGCTTTGAGCACAGAAATATGGACATAATCAGACCGCTAGGGAGGTTAAAGTCTTATTCACATCAACAGGTGCATTACGGATCCCATAATACATGTACCTGTATGCTTTGTGAACAAGTGCTGCTGTGCATTATTACAACACATTGCATTTTTTTTAAAGATTTTTTTAAATTTGCATTCATTCAACTCTGTTGCTACTTTACACAAACAGGAACATTATTAAATTGTACAGTCCTAATAACATGTCCAGGGGCGAACTGACCATTTGGAAACTTGGGCACTGCCCGAGGTCAGTAGGGGGCCCCATGAGATGCCCCTGGTACCTTTTTCATAGGATTTTTTGAGTTTGGGCAAGGATACAGCAGTCCCATGATCCCCTATTGACCGGGGGCCCCATGAGTTGTCCGCCCCTGAACATGTCTATTTGAGGGGATGGTGCTTAACCGTTTCAATACCGTGTGATTTTACACCTTCCTGCCCAGGCCATTTTTCAGGTTTCAGCGCTCTCACACTTTGAATGACAATTGCGCGGTCATACAACACTGTACCCAAACTAAAATTTTATCATTTTCTTCACACAACTAGAGCTTTTATTGGTGGTATTTAATCACCGCTGGGGTTTTTATTTTTTGCTAAATTAACCAAAAAAGACCAAAAATTTTGAAAAAAAAAACACATTTTTCTTTGTTTCTGTTATAAAAGTTTACAAATAAATAATTGTTCTTCATAAATTTAGGCCGAGATGTATTCTGCTACATGTCTTTGGTGAAAATAACCCAAATTAGGATGTATTTTTTAGTTTGTAGGAAAGTTATAGAGTTCACAAAACTATGGTATAGATCTGAATATTTATCAATCCTGAAGTACTGACAGCCAATCTAATTTCTTGAGGTCCAAGAATGTCAGAATAGTACAGATATCCCCAAATGACCCCTTTTTGCAGAGTAGACAGTCCGACGTACTTCATAAGAGGCATGGTGAGTTTTTTGAAGTTGTATTTTTTGTCATAATTTTTCGGAAAATGAAAAAATTAAAAAAATTATTTTTACTATTTTTTTTTTTTACATACTGTCACCAGTGCAGTTCAGCATCTTCATATAACTGGCATGGCGGTGAACATGGACACTGACTGGTGACAGTATGAAAAAAAAAAAATATATATATATATATATATTTTTTTTATTATATTTAATTTTTTATTACATTTTTTTAAAGATTTTTTTTTCATATTTTACTATGACCAAAGTAGTACAATGTTACCATAGTAACATTGCACTACTTTGGGGGAGTGATCAGTATTTTTTTTTTTTTTTTTTTATACACAGTTTGCTTATAGCAAAGAATTACTTTGCTATAAGCAAGCATTTAGCTGAATGAAATCGATTCATTCAGCTTTTTTTTTTTTTTTTTTTTTTTTTGTGTGCTTAGCTGTGATTTGGTCACAGCTAATCACATGACATGTGCATGTGACCTGCTGTGACCATTCACAGCTAGGCACTAGTATACAATGGATGGCATCATGAATGAAGCCATCCATTGTATACAACTATCATGTGACCTGCTGTGATTGGTCACAGCAGGTCACATGGTACCAGCTACGGGAGCCGGTACTCGGATCTGTCATCGGCCGTGTCCGAGGTGCACGGCCCGTGACAGATCCCGCTGCTGCGCCGCAAACTGCGCATGTGCGGGAGCACGCCAAATGGCGTGCACCCGGAATACAGGAGCGCATTTCAAGCCGCCAAACGGCCATTGGCCGGGCGGCTAATGGTTAAACATCCAGTCTGTGGCCTTTATGTAGAGATCCATCTTCCTCTACCTCTCTTTGTGCTTCTTAGAGGTCTTACCCAATAATTCCTTGCAATAGGCAGGGCACACTTGATGATCTCATCAAATGCAGAGGGCACAGCAGTCATTTTTGAAAAGGGCAAAACAAACACACTTTGCTACAGTTCAATAGATATATTTAGGAAATAAACAGGAAGAGTAATTACAATATCATAACAAATGTTTTGCTAGCCTTTAAAAGAATATAGAAAAAAAGGCACAATTGGAAGGAGTGCCAGACCAAAGAATAAGAGTCCAAATTTATAAACTAATAAACACCTTTGGATTTTTTGGTCTAGTGCTCCATCCATTTGTGCATATTGATTTCCGGTAAGCTGCTGGAGTATCCACTGAAAGGTAACCTGTCTTTTGTGAGCGTCCTTACCTGAGCCAGTGAGCTATTCAAGAGGTTCTTCTTTCAAAGAATCTAATCCAACAGACAAGAACAATGATAATATTAACAGCAAAGCACACCTTTTTTGCAAACTTATATGTACCTATATACAACATAATTGTGTAGCAAAACATGAGGGAATAACAAAATAATGTTTTTCAAAAGAATAAGTTCACCTTTTTGACAAAAATAATAAATGCACATTTATTTGCAGGTAAAAAATGTGCATTTTGGTCTGCAGGAGCCTGGAAAGTTTTGCACCAGTGATCATTAGATCGCTGATGCCGTGCAGGTCTCCTACAGACCTGTCATAATATCTGCTTGCCGTACTGGGTGTATGAGCAAGCAAATATTCTGACAGGAAGTTTAATGAATTACCACGGCACTCAACAACGCTGTGGTAGTTGATTGGAAACTACAAGACGTCAGCCGCTAAGGCTACTGGAACTTGCAGTTCATTCACGAAAGTCCGTAAATGAATGACATGGCTATGTGGGCAGAGCTCCGCGCAGCTGTGTGCTGTTTTCATATCTGACAGGTAGTACGGGAAGACTTCTTCCCATACTATCTGTGAGAGGGAGGGGGGCGGTAGGGTTGGCTGAGGCTATTCGAACATGTTACATGTTCCATCCTAAAAATGGGTGGAACATATAACATGTTCCCAAAGGTGAATTTATCCTTTAAGTATTCAAAGGATCTGACCAAACAAAAAAACAGACCACATAGAGGGCAGAAGCAAGAAAATACACACACATTTAACCGCATTCCTGCCATTCGCTGCTGCGGCTATCAATCACCGGGTCCTGGCCGGTGATTACCTGCCGGTGGCGGTGATTACCGATGATCTTGTAGCTGGCCAGCTAAGACCAGTCCTAGGTTGTTAATATGGTTCACATATATGTGTATACCAAACCTGCCAATAACCTCAGTACAGTATATATGTGTATATGTTAAAGCCAAAAGTAAAATCATTGCTGTAATTTATGTCTTTGATTGTTATATGACATTTATATATTCATTGTGTTAGCAGAAGCAGAAAAGGAAAATATGCCTTTAAGAGTTAGTTAAAGATGAACCAATCACAGACAGCCTTATACTGTACAGAGCCTTAACCAATCCCAGCCAGTTTCACATCTATGCCTGTGTAAAACTCCCTGCTAGGATTATCTAGAGACACATGCTCACCAGACAGAAGAGGAAACAGACAGTTCCAATCAGAAGAGCTTTATGGAGGCAGAGCAGGCCAAATAGGTATTTAATGCACTTGTGTGTTCCTCTATTGTTTGTCAGTGCAGGTGGATCTGTGTGTTGAAACTGTTGTGTGTGTTTTACTTGTAGTTCCACCGAACGAACTTATCGAATCGAACTTACGAATTTACCGAATCTAACAAATTTATCAAGCTATCAAATCAAACCACTGTAATATAAAGAAATAAGCTACTGTATGATAAATGAAACAAGCCATTGTAAGCAGTTATATGAAGAAGATTGAAGTTATTAAAGAAGTTAACTAAAGTATTCGGTGTGCTCTTTAAACCTACTGCATCCATAGAGCGGCATTGGAGGAATTACAGAGTAAAGTCAGTCTAATTAAACAAAGAAACAGCAATTGCATAATTTTTCTAATGCCACAGCGCACAAGGCACCAAAGGGTGCTGCGCCTGCCACACTCCTCCCTGTTGGCTCGGGCACACTGCTCTGGATGGCTGTGCACAGCACAGCCATCCAGAGCAGTGTGATTACAGTAAATCACACACACACCAACCCCCAGTCCCCCTGCCCACACTTCCAGCACACAGTTAACCCTTTGATCACCCTCATGTTAACTCGTTCCTGCCCAGTGCCATTAGTGTCAGTGCTTTTTTTAGCACTGATCACTGTATTGGTGTCCCTGGGTATGCCAGAGACACCAAGTCAGTTCCCTCCAGTGTTAGAATGTCCACCGCAGTCCCGCTATAAGTTGCTGATCACCAAAAATTCCAGTATCTATACCGCCATTTATAAACACTATAACTTTCATGTAAACCAATTAGTTTACACATATTGGGATTTTTTTTTAGCAAATACATGTAGCAGAATACATTTTGGCCTAAATTTGACGAAATTTGATTTTTTAAAATTTTTTCACTGGACATGTTTAATAGCAAAAAGTCAAAAATATAGGTTTTTTTTCTGAAATTGTCGGCCTTTTTTTTTTCATAGCACAAAAAATAAAAAACACAAGGGCAATCAAATACCACTGAAAGAAAGCTTAATTTGCGGGGAAAAAGGCTGTAAATTTCATTTGGGTGCAGCGTTGCATGACCATGCAATTGTCAGTTAAAGTAACGCAGTGCCGTAATGCAAAAAAATGGCCTGGTCAGAAAGGGGGGTAAATCCTCAGGAGAGCAAGTGGTTAATCATTGTTGGTCAGGATTTTGCTAGTGGCACAATGACATAGCTATTTGTTTGTATATACATGGATTTTTTCCTGTATATTTTTGTGTCTTTTTTTGTACTCTTTTTCTTTGTAGTCATTTTTCTTATTTATGTAGGAAAACATTATTTTGCTAAACCCTAATGTTTTATTTCATGATCATGTTGTATAAATTGCTCCTACAATACAATATATGTCAGATAGCAAAAATCTGTGCTTTTTTAATGTAATTGTATTTGCCTATTTTCCCAAAAGGTTTCATGGAAATAAAAAAAAACATTGACATGGTTCCATAACTTGACACATTCCTAACTTGTTCATATTTAGTTTGGATATGGTCAGAATACCAGCCATCATCCAGATCACTTTTCAGAAATCTTGTACTACATACTGTATGTACATAATAGTAGCTTTATCTTTCAGCCTTATATCCCTCTCTTGGGAACATGAAGAGTCTTGGGAATAGATCTCCTTTTTTTTACCCGTAGATGGTAGCCATGTGGGTCCAACCCAGCATAATGAGAATTGTTCTTGTTTGTTTGATATCCATATCTATTTGTTTGGTAAACCAAGCCAAACATTTAGTATAGATTTTTACCACTGGAAGTTTCATCCCCTTCATGACCAGTACATTTTTTGCTATTAAACACTGTGCTACTTTATCATTCAATTGCTCGGTCATGCAGCACTGTACCCAAATGATATTTATATTTTTTTTCACACTAATAGAGCTTTCTTTGGTCTTTCATTTAATAACCACTGAGTTTTTTTATTTATTACTGCATAT